TCTCTTCTCCCAGGCAACCAACAATAGGACAAGGGGACATGGGCTCAAGCTCTGCCAGGGGAGGTTTAGGTTAGATGTTAGGAAGAAATTCTTTACAGAGAGGGTAATCAGGCATTGGAACGGCCTACCCAGAGAGGTGGTGGATTCACCATCCCTGGAAGTTTTTAAGCAGAGATTGGATGTGGCCCTCAGTGCCATGATATAGTAATTGGAGTTGGATCAGGGGTTGGACTTGATGATCTTGGAGGTCTTTTCCAACCCAATCTATTCTATGATTATATGATTCTATGATATTTCCTACTCTTACATCATCATGGCTGGGCTTCGCGAATGAAGATTTGAGAAGGGCTCTACCCACGCTTGCTACAAGCGCGCTGATGGCTAAAAAGGCCAATGCGAGATAGACAAGTCCGGTTGCAGAATGTACAGCAGAAAGACTCCCCAGGTGATATTGACAAGACGTGATTCTTTCTGCATTGTCTTTTCTCCTCGAGAGTGATCCTGTGTGTGTTCTCAGAAGCAGCAGCAGCGTTATAGATGGTGTGTCTCCAGGCCTCCCGATTGGAGGCCAGGGTAGACCAATGGTGCTGATCAATATGGCCAAGGCTGAGGGATTGTTTCAGGCTGTCCTTGTATCTCCTCTTTGGGCCTCCTCTCTTGCGGCAGCCAGTGGCAAGTTCTCCACAGAGCACAATCTTAGGGAGGCAGTGATCCTGCATCCTGGAGACGTGCCCTGCCCAACGCAGCTGAGTTCTCAGCAGCATATCAGTTTAATTTTTGAGCTATCAAACAAGATGGATAATTTTGCCTTCTTAATCTCTAGTGTGGGTAGGGGAGTTGAAGAAGACATCCTCCCCAATTTGGATACTAAGAGAGAGAAAAACATTTTTAGGTCCTTATGCAGATTTATGATGGCATATAAAAAAGATTGAGATAAATCTAAAAAAACCCTGTGCATCTTAGTCTACTCTTCTAAGCTGAAAATTTAGAGTATATTTCAAGGGATTCAACAATTTCCTGATTTAAAGATGTCATTTAAAATTTCTCCATCATCTATCCTGCATCCTGATGAATGAAGAGATAAGAAATTTCTCCAAACATGGAATCAATATGCCATTTTCCCTTGCACTGACATTAAATGTCAGATGAAAAGAACCTTCAACCACTTTCGCTGCTAACATTCTGCTGTGTCATAGGAAATTGATTGTCCCCATCCAATTGTCTCCCAAGGCCAAGAACGCCCTGGCCCACGCCCTGCAGTCCGCTCGCCACGACTGTGACTTGCTGCGGGAACAATATGAGGAGGAGCAGGAAGCCAAGGGGGAGCTGCAGCGCGCCCTGTCCAAGGCCAACAGCGAAGTGGCCCAGTGGAGAACCAAATACGAGACGGACGCGATTCAGCGCACGGAGGAGCTCG